CAGTTGTCCTCACTGGTCACGCAGACGCTCCTTGGGCTGACGACTTGGCTACGCAGCGGTCGTCACAGGGTTACACCTTCAGCCTTGGCTCCGGCTCTGTTTCTTGGCGGTCTACCCGCTCGTCTTCTGTTCTCAGCTCCAGTTGTGAGGCTGAGATCTACGCAGGGGCCATGGCTGCTCAGGAGTTACGCTGGCTCACCTACCTGCTGACCGACCTTGGAGAGCCGCCTCGTTCTCCTCCAGTGCTGTACGTCGACAACAAGGCCATGATTGCCTTGTGTCAGGAGCACAGACTGGAGCACAGAACGAAGCACATCGCTCTACGCTACTTTCTTGCTCGAGAGTTGCAGCAGCGTGGTCAGCTTCGTCTTGCTTACGTGGCCACTCGGGCCAACACTGCTGATGTGTTCACCAAGGCCCTTCAGCCTTGTGATCATCAGCGTTTCTGTACTGTTCTAGGCCTTGTGCCTACTGTGCCTCACTTGCTTACTTCTTGACTCTACTTGTACTGTGATCTCTATACATATACCTGCATGCTTACACTTGCTAGGTTGTGATCACTGTATTGTTTGTTCTCCTTTATAAACCTCTGCATGTGAACTGGTCTTGTGGCCACTTGCTTGTGCTCAGAATGCGTGGTGACTTCGTGATCCACCCTGAGCTTGCTTTGCTTCTCTTGACTGGTCTTGTGACCCCTTGTTCTCCCCCACTTTGCCTATGGGGGTGTGTCAAACATATATGATATAGCATGTTTAGGCTGTAGTGGGTTAGACCTTAGGGGGTACATCTTTCTAGGTTTTCCTATTTGTACCCATCTCATTTCTAGTTCATTCATTCCTCGTTCTTATTATGACACGACTTCCTGCCGAGATAAAACTTGGGAGATGTTGTATCGTCGATGGCCGACGCCGTTGAAGCCGCGCAGAACGGAGGGGAGGATTGGCTGCTCCTGCTGGTTGACTTTCAGAAGGCGTACGACACGGTGTCTAGGGAATATCTGTTCCACACAATGAAGAGCTGGGGGTGTCGGCCGGCCTCCTCTGCTGGACAAAAGGCCTGCACGAAGGGGCAGGGATGAGGATAGCAGTTAATGGATGGCTCAGCGTAAAGGTGGACCGGCTAAACATGAGGAGAGGGAAGCCGGACATTTTTTTCCCACGTTGGAGAGCCGGAAGAGGAACAGCTTAACCATGCGCATCACGTGTGGCGGTCGTCGACATGGCGCCGACTTCAGGGCGCCGACCTGTGGGTGTCGGCGGCTCCCTCTGGTCGACCGAATAGCCTGGTCGACGAATTTCTGTGATGGTGCGCAAACGTCATCCAGGCAGTTTTGGCGAAGTTGTCCTATGTGGCAACATGCCGTGATCGTTGTCGACGAGGTGCATCTGGCGCAACTGCCGGCACGTGGCTGACCTGGCACCTGCGCAATGTGCGTAACGGTACATGACATGCTCAACCGTCTACCAGCACTTGCGTGGTAGGTGCGTGCATGGTATGCTCACATAGTCACCTGCGGTTGCAACGCTGGCAAGCCGCCGACTTGAAGTGTTGGCAAGCCACCTTCCAGCTGTGTTGGCATGCGCCATCTTGCGGCGCTTACAAGCCGCCCTAGTTCTGCGCTGGAGGTCGACTTGCTATGTTGCCCGGTTGCCTTGCTTCTGATGAAGCAGGGCTCTTGCTAGGATTTAGGCCCGTCTGAAATCTAAAAAAAAAACAACAAAAAAAAAAACAAAAAAAAACAACGTTTCGTCTGACGTTCAGACGAGCATATTTTTTTGGTCTGATTTCTAAGACGAATGTTGGAGCTACGTCTGTTTTTCAGACGATTTTTTATGCACGGTCTGATGTAGCTAATACCAAGACACTGGTCGAGCATCTTACTTTCAAACGGATTTCTGCATACGCCGCTGATGCGGCGAGTCCGCGAGCTGGTTTGCATTGGCGCGAGGACCGCGGGGGGGTGAGAGGGGGTGGGAGGGACTTGACGCGAAGTGGGGCTAGGCAGGGAGAGGGGATCTCGGATGGGGAGGGGGAGAAGCGCTGGACTGGGGCTGGGCTGGCAGAGGAGCAAAAGACTCGAAGTGGGGACTGTGCTGGTAGAGGAGCGAGAGATTCGGGGAGAGGGGTGGAGAACGGGGAAAGGGGGGGGGCGGGGGAGGGGGAAAGAGGGGTGCCGGTGTCAGACGGAAATATACGCGCAGTCTGAAATGGCAGACGAAGTATTACGCTTGCTCTGAAAATTCAGACGCAGTAAAATTCATTGTCTTACTGATCAGACGAAATAAAATTCACTGTCTTACAAATCAGATGAAAGAAAAAATCGAGGTCTGAAAATCAGACCATCAGACCGATTTGGTCTGATAAAGAGAGCCCTGTGATGAGGTCGTCTTTGCCAAACCATTGTGTATAATTGTTGTTCTCAATTACTATGTACCGCCCTAATGCTACTGCAAAAAGGAAAACAAACCAACAAATATTGATTTGGTGAATCAATAAAGGTTTCAACATAAACTTAAAACGAAATAACTACGTCAGCCGGGAATCGAACCCGGATCTTTTACTTGGAAGGCAAATTTCCTAACCATTGGACTACTGACACAATGGAAGTTTCCAAATGTATTATGAACAATGGAAGTTTCCAAATCGGACATGATTCAGACGTAAGCACATACAGCAAGTTATGTTACACACTCGTTATTCTGCTCACACTTCGTTCACGAATGGTAACCTCTCGTGTGTGGTTCAGAGAAATAGAATCTTCTTCCGAGTCTGGCATCGTTGACTCGGTATGTTGCTGAACAAGCATGTTTTTCAAAGCGCTGTCTACCATACTTTTGCTAAAGAAGAGGCATTTTACCAAGGCTACAACAGTCTACTACCATCAATGTCAGTTTCAGGAAAAATAACAAGCTTCAGGAGGGATTCCACCAACATTTCCGCAAACTTGATTCAATACTACGACTGACATGTTCTTCGGCGGGCAGGGAATTATCTAAAAGGGGTAACACGAAAGGAGGGTTCAACCTTTCACCTTACCAAACCAAGCCGTCCAACCAGTGACAAGGGCGAACCAAGAAGCCCAGCAGCCTACCACCTCACCTCACTTGCCGCGAACCTGTGATCCACTCGGCACGGCAACCCCTAGGTCAGTGCAGTAACGACGTGGATATTTAGGTCTAGAGGTCTCAGGAATTGATGCACTGCGACGCGTCCTAGTTACTTGAACAATCACTTAGTTCTTTCTCCCCGAGACAAGATTCGTTCAGGCGTTTGAGGCATTCTTCGCACAGTTTCTTCCACGGCTCTGCAATGGCGTCCGAGAATAGCGCAACACGGCCGGAAAGTAATCCGAGCACCAAGGATGGCAAGTCTCGGCTGCGATTCGACGAGAGCGTCACCGTGATTTACGGATCGGGGGAAACAGAAATTGAGACGCTTCACGTTCCGGAAGACACCTCCTCCGCCTCTGGCGCGGAGCCTCGCGAGGCCGCGAGCAGTCAAACGGATGGAGCCTTGCGGGACGAAGCAGATGGCTCTGAAATGCAACGGTCTTCTGAGAGCCATGGTCAACAAGCCGCAGCAGCGTTCGGGATGCGTCACGGGGAGGCGGAAGGCGATGACCTTGCGGAGGATTTTGATTATTTAGATCTGGAGGATTTGGAACAGACGTGGCCGGAGCGGAGGGAGAGCATTCTCGGCACGCGATGCGGGTCGCCTAAAGGCGCCACGGAGATCGGAATAATGCGGTCAGATGCGATTAGGTTCGGGGGGGCTCGCGAGTCGCTAAAATCATGGACCCCGCAACCACGCGCGTGACGCAACCACGCGCGTGACGCGTTCCGCGTGCTTCGCCTTCCCCGCGCTTGACGCCACCCGCGCACTTACATCTGGTTTAGTTCAGCCTCGCTCTTCCGTTTCAGACTTCACAAGTCTCTCTCGGAGGCGCCCCTCCTTTCTGCGTCTTTTTGTTTTTCTTTTTTCCCCGTGTATTCCTGCTTCGCTGCTCTCGGACGTCGCGAAGTCACGCGTCGGCCCGTCGTTTTTGGCGAACTGGCTTCCCCGGGATAGGCAAGATCCTGCTGTCAGAGAACGATGGAGGGGAGGGACGTGTTGTGGTGGCGATTGTGGCAGCAAGAGGGGTGCTGGTGGCCGCTTCTTCGTGGTGCTCAGTCGCTGAATGCAGGGTTGGCTCGCGAGTCGCGCCGTCTCCAATGGCTCCCCTTCAATGAGCAGCAGCGCATGGCGGGGTGACGTGGCAGGCGGCCCCGCTTAGCCACTGCGCCTCGAGCACCAATGGCTGCTGCTATGCTGGTTGCATGCCTCTGCTGGTGCTGGTGCTGGTGCTGGTGCTGGTGCTGTTGCTGGTGCTGGTGCTGGTGCTGGTGCTGGTGCTGGTGCTGGTGCTGGTGCTGTTGCTGGGGGGCTGGGGGGCTGGGGAGCTGGGGCTCGAGCTGGGGCTGCTCACATGGCATTGCTCTGCTCTCCGCTGTACATTGTTAGGGGTCGGGGACATTGAGGTCTAGAATTTTCGTCATGACTTGTGAGGGTTTAAAATTCTTAGTTCAGGTTGCGGTTCACTTGATGCATGTGCTGCTGCTGCTGCTGCTGCAACATGCATGTGCTTACTGCTAGCATCGGTTCCTCTTGCACTGACAAAGCGCTTGCTTGGTAGTACTGTAGTAACATGCATACTGAAGTCTCTCAGACTGCATGCTGGAAGAGAAGGGTATGCAAATGGCCAAAAATAAGTAAATTATTATTACATGATGCTGAAATACACTCTGTATCCTACTGCCATGTTGAAAGGAGAAAGGTGGCTTGAGGTGGCAGTGGTGGAGAGAACACTGAAGCTCTGAGAGCAGACATTGCCAGCGCACATGTAAACGTGAACATTGAAGAGCAAATCATCATCTCCAACAATTCCCCTCATCACCTTCATCTCCCCTCCCCCTCATCACCATTATCCCCCCCTCATCACCATCATCCCCCCCTCATCACCCTTATCTCCCCCACGGGAATTTCACGCCCCCTCGTTGCCCCTCTGCCTCCCCCCCTGCCTGCTGCCCTGCCACCGGCCGTGCCTCAGCAGCAGCAACTGCTGCTGTCGCTTGTTGAGTCACCAGGGCTGGCAGGGGCGCCTTGAGGGGGTAAGGCACGTGCAGGGGCGGTGGCATGTGCATGCTCCAACTCCCCCACTGCACCTCGCTTGTCTCCTCATGCTCTTCCTCATGTGCTGCCTCTGCTGCCTCTGCTGCCTCTGCTGCCTCTGCTGCCTCTGCTGCCTCTGCTGCCTCTGCTGCCTCTGCTGCCTCTGCTGCCTCTGCTGCCTCTGCTGCCTCTGCTGCCTCTGCTGCCTCTGCTGCCTCTGCTGCCTCTGCTGCCTCTGCTGCCTCTGCTGCCTCTGCTGCCTCTGCTGCCTCTGCTGCCTCTGCTGCCTCTGCTGCCTCTGCTGCCTCTGCTGCCTCTGCTGCCTCTGCTGCCTCTGCTGCCTCTGCTGCCTCTGCTGCCTCTGCTGCCTCTGCTGCCGTCCCCCCTGCTGTTTGGAAGCCAGCATCAGTATCCCTCTGCCGCTGCTGGTTGTCTGCTATGCCGATTTCTCTGCTGCTGCTACTACTGCTGTTGTTGTTGCTGCTGCTGCTGCTGCTGCCACTGTTACTGCTGCTGCTGTCGCTACTACTGCTGCTGCTGCTACCACTGGTGTTGTTGCTGTCAGCATGTGCGGGCGGCAGGCCCTTGAAGAGCATCGTGGTGGTCTGCAGGCGGTCGAAACGGAACCCCGACTGCCACACAAACAAGCTGCAGCACAGAAGAATAAAGAATTAATATGTGTTAGTGACTGGTGATAGGAACTGACACTTGTGCGGGCGGCAGGAGCATCGTGGTGGTCTGGAGGCGGTCGAAAGGGAACCCCGACTGCCAAACAAACAAGCTGCAGACGAAAACGAAGCTGTGATTGCCATACAAACAAGCTGTAGCAGAGAAGTAGGAATAACGAGGAATATATACGTTCTGGTGATTGGTACACTCGTGAAGGTACACACACGCAGGGTGAATATGGTGCAAGGGGGGGCGGAGGAAGAAAGGATGCCCCAGCAGAAGCAGAGGCAAGCGGGGAGGCAGAGGCGCGTGGAGAAGCAGGCGATGGAGCGAGAGCAGGAGCTGAAGAGAGGATAACAAGAGCTGGGAGAAGGGGCATGGGCTGTATTGTAAGTGACGTGGCAGATATATGGGGCGGTGCTGAATGTGATACAGGAGGGGGCAGGCGGGATGGGGCGAGGCAGGCAGGAGGTAGGGAGGCGGGCAGGAGGTGGGGAGGCGGGCAGGAGGTGGGGAGGCAGGCAGGAGGTGGGGAGGCGGGCAGGAGGTGGTCGAGAAGGGGAGGAGTGGACGGTGCCGAGTGTTGTGCATGCTCTGTGTGTTCCCTCAGGGTGCAGTGTGGAATCCCTGTGGGTGCCATGCCATGAAACGCATAATCCACGGGTTCCTCTCATGGATGCAGATACAGCAGCAATGATCATGGTAAGAGGCAGCAGTAGCAGTTGTAGCAGCAGCACTCATGGTACGAAGCAGCGGTGGCACCTGTAGCAGCGGTCACATGGGTAGCAGCGATAGCATCAGTGGCAGCAGTAGGAGGTGTAGCAAGCAACTCACCGCTGGTTGGGCCACACGACAGCAGAGATGTCCCCAATGCCCCGCGAGAGGAGCTCCCTGGGAGTGAGCATGGTGGCGAGGGAGGAAGAGAGGATAATAGAAACAGAGGCGCAGAGAAGCAGAAGAAAATAGAAAGAGACAGGAGTTGGAAAGGAGGATCATTGCCGCAGAGGAGATTCCAAACAGAGAAGAATCAGAGAAGAGAAACAGAGGAAAATAGAAAAGGAGAGTTGAAACAGAGGATAACAGAAGTAGAGGAGAGCTTCAACAGAGAAGGATTGAGACAGGAGAGAAGAGAAATAGAGGATATTTGTGATGCGAAGTCAGACACGTGGATGGGCCATGAAGACCCCTAGAAGAAGCCCGTTCACAGCCTTGCAATCCAAAACCAAGTTTCATCTCAGCACCAGCCTGAGAATTCACCAGAGCACATCAGCTTGGAAATTCACCTGAGGATTCTCTGCAGCACCCTGGTGCCAAGGCCACGGCCTCTGTATATTGGTGCCACCTGGCATGGTGGAGAACAGTGGAGAGCGGTGGGGTGGAGTGTCGGGGGACTGGATGGGACGCGAAGCAGAGGAAGAAAAACGAGGAGCATAGTCCAATGATATGATGTGCTGTGCTGTCTCAACATGTGAAAGGATGATATGGCATCCCATGGCATCAGATGATGGAGTGCAGTTCATGAAGGAGGGCACACATTCGCTTCGCCTATGCTGTGTGTACAGCATACACATGAAACGCACCCAGGGGATGAAACGCACCGCGATGTCATGCACGGCAGCAGTGAGCGTGCCATCGGAGTACGCGCGCCCAAACGCCACGAGCCTCTTGCCCTCCACACTGCGCTGAGCCTCCTCCTCCGCCTTCGCCCTCCTCCTCCTCGCCCACTTGCTCATCCCCCTCCTCTTGCTCCCTTTGCCTCCACTGCTCGTACCCTTGCTTGGCGTGCCACCATCACTTGTGGTGGTGGTGGTGCTGCTGTTGCTGCTGCTGCTGTCACTGTCGCTCCCACCATCACTACCACTGCTGTCATCTGTATTGTCTGCCTCACTGCCCTTCCTCTCCTTCCTCTCCCCCCCCTCCTCTTTCCCCACCTTATCCCCCTCCTCCTCCACCACCTCCTCTCCCTCCTCCGTGTAATAGTCCTCTGAGAGGTCTTCCTTCTTCACGTACAGACCCACTGTCACTGTGCTGCAGCCATGGACAGCAGGGGTAAGACGTGGACAGCAGGGGTATGACGTGGACAGCAGGGGTATGACGTGGACAGCAGGGGTATGACGTGGACAGCAGGGGTATGACGTGGACAGCAGGGGTATGACATGGACAGCAGGGTTATGACGTGGACAGCAGGGGTATGAGGTGGACAGCAGGGGTATGACGTGGACAGCAGGGGTATGACGTGGACAGCAGGGGTATGACATGGACAGCAGGGTTATGACGTGGACAGCAGGGGTATGACGTGGACAACAGGGGTATGACGTGGACGACAGGGTTATGACGTGGACAGCAGGGGTATGACGTGGACAACAGGGGTATGACGTGGACGACAGGTTTATGACGTGGACAGCAGGGGTATGACGTGGACAACAGGGGTATGACGTGGACAGCAGGGGTATGACGTGGACAACAGGGGTATGACGTGGACAGCAAGGTCCACAGGGTGACATGACATGACATGACATGATATGAGGAGAAAGAAGCACATTCTCTCATCTTGCTTCTCCATCGAATCGAGTCGGCACCCATCATCTCTACCCACAGGCACTCCAGCCACGCTCACTCTCCACTCTAGCCCCATCCTCACCCCTTCTCCCATCCTCACCCCTTCTCCCATCCTCACCCCTTCTCCCATCCTCACCCCTTCTCCCATCCTCACCCCTTCTCCCATCCTCACCCCTTCTCCCATCCTCACCCCTTCTCCCATCCTCACCCCTTCTCCCATCCTCACCCCTTCTCCCATCCTCACCCCTTCTCCCATCCTCACCCCTTCTCCCATCCTCACCCCTTCTCCCATCCTCACCCCTTCTCCATCCTCACCCCTTCTCCCATCCTCACCCCTTCTCCCATCCTCACCCCTTCTCCCATCCTCACCCCTTCTCCCATCCTCACCCCTTCTCCCATCCTCACCCCTTCTCCCATCCTCACCCCTTCTCCCTCCTCACCCCTTCTCCCATCCTCACCCCCCATCTCCCCCCTCACCTCTTATCCAGCGCTCTCCTCATCTTGGCAGCATCAGCCCGCCTGACTCTCCGCTGGTCCACGGGCACGCGAGCCACGTGCACGTTCCGGGGCACCGGGCGGCCGTCGGGCGGCGACTCGGGCGGCAGCAGGGCGGGGAATAGTTGTCCGTTCTGCCCAGATGCTGCCAGCAGCGCCGCCACCTCGCGCTCGTCCATGGCTGCCGCCTCCGTGACTATAGTGAGGGGCGGGATGCGCAGGGCTGAGAACCACAGGCAGTGGGGGGGGGGAAGGAGGGGGGATGTAGAAGGGGAAGAAGGGGAGGAGGGGAAGGGAGGGGGAAGGCAGGGCGCTAGTCCATGGCTGCTGCCTCCGTGACTATAGTGAGGGGTGGGATGCACCGCTGATACAGCACCAACCGCAAGGAAGAGACAGAAGGAATGGTGGCGAGGGCGGGGGGGATGGGGGAGGAGGGGGGAGAGGGGGTGGGGGGTTGGGGGAAGGGGGATGGGGTGGAGCGGGGGCTATTGGGGCTACTTGGGGGGGGAGGTGTGCGCAGTATGGCATGCACTGGGCAGACCTTGAAAGACACAATCTCTCAGGGGACGACTGAGGGAGAGGACGCGGGTGTGAGGGATGGGTGGGCAGGGACGCTAATGCTACTTCAGAGGTCAACTCACAGTAGCCTGGTTCGCCCACCCGTGTTGTGGTTGTGTCATGAGGGAGGGATAGACATACGCGCGCACAGCTCGCCAGCTCGCTACCGCCGTGGGCTGCTCGTGCGCCCACCCACCCCCCAGCTTCTCCTCAGATGATAGAAGTTGAGTTCTGAGACGTCTCAAATCTCAACTTCTATCACGTGCGCCCACCCACCCACCCACCCACCCACCCATCCCCAAGCTTCGCCTCAGAAGCTCTTGCTCGTGGCTCACCCGTTTGGGACGAGAACAGCTGGCACCGCGTGTCCCTGCGAGACGACCAGGATGACCCGCCCCTCGCATGCCCGCCCCACGTCGAATCGCCCCACGTCGAAGCGCCCTGCCGCGAGGTGCGGACCCCCGCCGCCAGCGGGCGTCCCGCCGTCTCTGGCCTGTGAGAGCACGCCTGCACGCCACGTAGGCGCGGATGGGCGACACGTGTGCTCGACTGCCCTCCACGCTGGCGCGAGTGCGGCGCTTGGAAGGGCGGTGCGACTGCGACGAGACCTGCTTGTTGTTCGTGCGAATGGTGGTCGTGGAATGGAAGTGGTCGGGGCGAGTGCCAGCCACGCGCCCAGCACGTGGCATGCGCGTGCCAATCGTGTGTATTCCCCGCCCGCCGCGGCTGCAAGGACGCGAGCCGTCGTTGTTGACTGTGACGGTGTAACGCAGGGACAACGGCCGGAATCCAAGCTGGCGACGGGTGGCACGCGGCGCGGGGACAGCGAGGCAGCGAGACGGCGGCGTGAGGGGAGGTGGTTGCGGAAGCCATACCCGATACAGGGACTCGTGCGCACGCGACTACGCGACGGCACAAATGTGCGAGCGGTGTAAAAATATGATTGCCGCTGTACGAGTGCAATGTAGGGCTGGAAATGAGGGCTTGCTGGCGGCGAAGGCAGTATGCCGCTACAGCGTTCCGTTATTCCGCCTAGACTGCCAGTGAGGAGGGACTTTCTGTGTCAGTCGGAAGCATAGTCCAGAGACACCCAAACCAGACCGGCCTGTCAGAAGGTGAGTGCGTGTGCGTACCATTTCTACTCGCGGATGTGTTTGAGGGGTGAGGGCAGAGGTATGATTCGTTAGAGGACCGACAACTGTACAAGGCGAAGCAGGTGTCGGCGCTGTATCGTTGCAGGATTATAAAGTGCAGAGTTGTATTCTGTACATTAGAAACGAAGGAAACGAAACCGTCTACACCTCCCAACTGTCCAATAGAATGTGCCAGCAGTAGAAATGTGCCAGTGGAAGCTGAAATTGGGCTGGCGGACGTGGCGGCGCGCTGCATGCTGACGAGGATCGAGCTTTCGTGGACCTTGCGCCATCTGATCCGCCATACACGCGACTAGACAAAAGTCACCGACAACAGTTATCCAAGCCGTCAAATCAATATTGCCTCGACACGTAAGACAATCTTGTCCGTCTTTCCGCATCCAATTGCCAACAAACTCGAACCTGATTGATTAGGCATCCATGTCATTTATCTCGGATCGGACTCGTCGAACGTGACACCTGACAGACACATCTCCAATTGATGGAATTCGTGTCCATTGTAGGTGTTCGTCGAGTTCTACAAATCAGGAGCAGGTGCTAGGCATGTCCGTTCCCATTCCGAATTCACTCTCCAAACGTTCTCAAAACAAGTAGTGAACGGTCGCGCGTCGTTCGCGAGCTATTCGCGGATCGTCCTCGTGACTAGTATCTGGTGGCATCGAGCTCCTCATGCCAGCCCCTCCTCCATCACTCGCGCGCCCTCACCTGCTCCACCCGCGCCGCGCCGTACACCATGTCGCGTTCTCTCCTCTCGCACGGCATACCTCCCTGCCTGCCGCGATTCGCGGGCAGCACGCCGCTCAGTCGGCACCTTAACGGTCAACGACAGCCCTCGCTCGATCCGTCCCCGCGTCGCTCTCGCCGCTCCTCCCGCGGCATCTCAGCGTCCCCCTTGCAGCCGTCGTTGCGCCCATCCGCTCATTCCAAGTCGAGCCAATCCAGCACTCACCGACACAGTCTCCGTACCCGCTGGTCCCTTCTCGCCAATCCTTCGCGAATTCGCATCGGGCTTCACGAAAATGGCTCTCGCCGCGCCGTCGCGACGGCGTCACACGGCGACGGAGGAAAGGAGTCGTTCGGCGGCGAGCGCGTAACGACGCCTGCTGCGACGAGCGGCGATACCAATACGAGCAGCGGGGGTTGCAATGAAACGGCTAGGGGCAGTGACAGCAGCGAAAGTAGCACTAGTAACGCGGCGCCACGGGGCCAGGATGCAGGTTCTTCGCATCCATCCCCGCTTCAAGCCTCCTCGCCACAAGCAGCAATCCTCGATACTCGCCCAGATCTCACAAACCACCCCGCCAGTCCCTCCCCCCCTTCCGCCATCTCCCCGCCCACTTCCGCCTCGCTTCCTCCGCCCAGCTTCCCCGCGTGGTACTTCTCCTCGCGCCACGTGGCAGCGCACTACTTCGTCAACCTCGACACGGGCCTGTCGGAATCCGACGTGGCGCGGCGGCGAGCAGCGCACGGGTGGAACGAGCTAGACCGACCAGCAGGCACGCCGTTCTGGGACCTAGTCTTGGACCAGCTCAACGACACACTCGTTCGGATCCTCGTCGCCGCCGCCGTGGTGTCGCTCGCGCTGGCCGTGGCGGAGCAGGGCGGGATAGGGGGCGCGGGAGGCGGAGGCGGAGGGGGCGGAGGGGGGCTGGCGGGGTACACGGAGCCGGTGGTGATAGTGGCGATCGTGGTGCTGAACGCGCTCATCGGCGTGTGGCAGCAGGTGCAGGCGGAGCAGTCGCTGCAGGTGAGATATGTCGCTGCAGGTGAGATATGGCAGTCGCTGCAGGTGAGATATGTCGCTGCAGGTGAGATATGTCGCTGCAGGTGAGATATGGCAGTGGCTGCAGGTGAGGGCAGTGGCTGCAGGTGAGGGCTTGGCAGTACGGGAGGGAGGGGTGGGTGAGGGAGTGGCTGCAGCTTGGTTGGCGAGGGCTAGACGATTCAAGGTGGGTGTGAGTGGGAATGACCTGTTGTTCGTGAGTGTACGACTTGGGGTGCCTTTGTGCGTTATGGATGAGCCTGAGCGACTCTGAGTATAGAAACCTGAATGCGTTTCCTCTCTCTTGCCGTCCCTTCCTCCTCCCCCCATCCGCCTCCTCCCCCCATCCATCCTCCCATGCACTCCCCCTCCGCCCCCCATGCTCCCCCAGGCGCTCAAGGAGCTGCAACCGCAGACGGCGCGAGTGAGGCGGGCCGCTGTTCCTGTGGTGAACATGGAGGGAGGCCAAGGCGGCCGGGACGACGACAGTGACGCACCAGCAGCGAAATCAGCAGCAGCAGCGCCATTCATAACGGTGCCAGCGCGAGAGCTGGTGCCGGGGGACGTGGTGGAGGTGCGGGCGGGCGACCGCGTGGCAGCAGACATGCGCATTGTTGCGGTGGTGAGCGGTTGTGTGCGGCTCAACGAGTCCACGCTCACTGGGGAGAGCGAACCCCAGGTGAAGCAGACCGAGCGGGTGGAGCGGAGGCGAGGAGGAGGAGAAGAGAGTGTGGAGGAAAGCCGGTGGGACGACAGCAGCAGCAGCAGCAGCAGCAGCAGCGACGATCTGGCAGTTGCGAGGACGATCCAGTCAAAGGCCAACACGGCATTTGCTGCTGGTGGGCGCAGCGAGGAGGAGGCAGCAGCGCAGCAGGCAGATTGGGACAGCAGCAGCAGCGATGGCAGCGACGGCAGCAGCAGCGGCAGCAGTGACGGCCTGGAAATCCAGGCAAAGGACAACATGGCGTTTGCAGGCACGACAGCAGCGACTGGGTCGTTCATCGGGGTGGTGGTGGCCACGGGCATGGCCACCGAGGTGGGGCGCATCCAGGCGCAGATCACAGCAGCAGCAGCGGAGGAGGCGGCGTACGACACACCGCTGTCGCGCCGCCTGGACGAGTTCTCCACGGCGCTCACCCAAGCTGTGGGCGCCATGTGCGTGGTGCTGTGGGCGGTGAATTTCGACCGGTTTGTGGCGTGGGACGCCGTGGGGAGGACTCTCGTGTTTAATGCGCAGCAGGCAACGTTCTATTTCAAGGTAGCGTGTGTGTGGTGCTGTGGTTTGTGGTGTGGTTTGTGGTGTGGTTTGAGGGGGTGAGGGGTGATGAGGCACCCAGGCTGTGGGCGCAATGTGTGTGTTCCTGTGAGATGGATTGGCGAGGATTTTAGTGTTCAACGCTCAGCAGGCGAGGTTCTATTTAAGGTTAACCCTGGCTGTAGCAGCAGTGAACCCAATAGTCTACATTCTTCTAACACACGGCCTGACAACGGGTGCCAGTGGTGCTGGTTGTAGCATTGACTCCCAAAAACCTGCCAGCCGTCACGGTTGGCCCTGCCGCCTGTAGCGGCCTGGAAACAATACACTCTAGATTCTCGTGCCTAACACATCCAGTGGCTGGTAAGAGGAGGCAGGCAGTACAGCCGTCACACCCACGTGCCTGCCTGCCTGCCTGCCTGCCTGCCACTTGTTGCCTGGCAAGCACCCTCCATCCTCAACCCTTCTCACCCAACGTCAGCACCCTTGGCTGTCTCTCGCCACTGCCGCTGTCACTGCCACTACCAAAAGACCACAAGCCTCAATCAGTCGTGAGATAACCACTTATCAACTGCAGAACCCTGAATCTCGGGCCTTGTTCCAAACCCTAAACTCCCAATCAACAGGAAGCAGTGGCGCTGGCGGTGGCAGCAATTCCCGAGGGGCTACCAGCAGTGATCACCACGTGCCTGGCGCTGGGCACACGGCGCATGGCAGACGCGCACGCTATAGTCCGACGCTTGCCGTCCGTTGAGACACTCGGGTGCACCACCGTGATCTGCTCCGATAAGACCGGCACGCTCACGACCAATCAGATGGCGGTCGCCAGCCTGGCAGTGCCACGTGGCGCTGACGGGGACGTGCGGTGGTATGACGTGTCGGGGACCACGTATGACCCGGGGGATGGGGAGGTGGTGGGTTGGAGAGGGGGAGGGAGACGGGAAGGAGAGGGAGGAGGAGGCGGGGGAGGTGGAGGAGGAAAATCAATTTTGAGTGAGGGGAGTGCGAGTGAGGGGGGTGCGAGTGAGGGGGGTGGGAGTGAGAGGGGTGGCAGTGCGGAGGCGGGAGTGTGGAGTGTGGCGGCCATCAGTGCGCTGTGCAACGACAGCAGCATCACGGCCACCAAGGGGCGCTACGCCTGCTCTGGCATGCCCACTGAGGCCGCCCTCAAGGTGAGGGGGGATCGTTTGACGGTGTGGTGAAGGTAAAGTGTGGTGGAGTGAGGTGGTGGGGAGGTGGTGGGGAGGTGGTGGGGAGGTGGTGGGGAGGTGAAGGGGAGGTGAAGGGGAGGTGAAGGGGAGGTGAAGGGGAGGTGAAGGGGAGGTGAAGGGGAAGTGAAGGAAGGGGAGGTGAAGGGGAGGTGAAGGGAGGTGCAGAGGAGGCGAAGGGGAGGTGAAGGGGAGGTGATGGGGAAGTGAAGGGGAAGAGAAGGGGAATTGAAGGCGATATAAAGGTGGGGTGAAGGTGATTCAAGTGTAGCCGATCCTGCAAGCACGCGCTGACACTGGAATAGCCGATCCTTAAAACAAACGACGCGTCGATCCATCCGTCCCCACACCCCTGCGTGCAGGTGCTGGCGGAGAAGCTGGGCGTGCCGAGCGCGGAGCAGCAGGTGCGGATAGAGGCGGCACGCAGAGGGGGTGGGGTGGCAACTGGGGAGGCGAGCTCCCTGAGCCTGGCGAGTGGGTACTGGGAGCAGCGGTGGGCGCGCGTGTGCACTCTGGAGTTCGACCGCCTCCGCAAGTCCATGAGCGTGCTCGTCTCACCTCTGGGCGGCCAAGTCGCGGCCGTGCAGCAGCGCGGGGCACTGGCGGAAGGCGGGGCAGTGGGGGAGGAGATTAGAAGCCCTGGGGAGAAGGAAGAGGGGGGGTTGTGCGGCGCAGGCAACAGGCTGCTGGTGAAGGGAGCAGCAGAGTGCGTACTCACGCGCTGCTCCTCTCTGCAACTCCCCTCGGGCGCCATTGTCCCTCTCAACCCCTCCGCGCGTGCTCGTCTGATTCACAGCATAGCAGCCATGGCCTCCCAGGGCCTGCGCGTGCTGGCCTTCGCCTTTCGAGATCACCTCCCCCCTGCTCTTGCAGGTTTGCGTTTGAATGGGCGGGATGGGGGCGAAGGGAGCAAGGGAGGAGGTGAAGGGAACAGGGAAGGGGCGCAGGGGGATGTAGAGACGGGGGGTGAGGTACGGGGGAGTGGGGAGGGGTGGAGTGAGGAGGTGAGGCGGTGGGTGGAGGATGGGAGCCGGTATGAGGAGCTAGAGAGCGAGCTCACGTTTGTGGGGCTGGTGGGGATCCGAGACCCGCCCAGGCCTGAGGTGCCGGGGGCCATAGCAGCGTGCACGAGTGCGGGCATGCGCGTGATTGTCATCACTGGGGACTCGGGGGCCACTGCTGATGCTGTTGCGCGGCAGATCGGGCTGTTTGGGCGCAGTGGTGGTGGTGGTGGGGAGAGACACGGTGACATGCACAGCAAAACGGATCCGGCCCGGCATTCGTACGCAGCGGCAGAGTTCGTTGGGCTGCCAGAAGAGGAGCAGCTGAGGATCCTGGGAGGGCGGCCAGAGGGGACACACGGCACAGGCGGGGAGAGAGGTGGGGATAGGAGCAGCGGAAGGGCGAGGGGCGGCAATCTGGTGTTCTGGCGGGCGGAGCCGGCACACAAGCAGGCAGTCGTGAGGGCGCTGCGGGCGCAGGGCGAGGTGGTGGCGATGACGGGTGATGGGGTGAACGACGCCCCTGCTCTCAAGCTGGCTGACATTGGGATCGCCATGGGCGCTACTGGCACTGAGGTGGGTGGGGAGGGGTGAGGTGCGGTGACTGTTGAATAAGGCGCTGTTGTCAGGGCCTCTTCAGAACATTTGTGCGGTGGAGTGCATCTCACTTGAAGTGTTGAGAATAGTTGCAAGCCTACCAAGGGTGTGTTCCTACGGCCTCTTATCAGGCTCGCCTCTAGTCAGTCAGACTCGCCGTGTCGAACCGCTCCGTAACATACGTAATCTCATCCAATCGCACTGAAATGCACTGAACCGCAGAGCCTGACATGAGCTGTCTCTGATAAGATGCATATGAACACGCCGAGTCTCAACCAGCTAGTATCAGCTGTTGGACTGCAGTGCAGTGCATGTCACTTAAAGTGTAGACTTTTGGAAGTGTCCCAGTGGATGTAAGCCACTGTCTATCGTTGAATTCATACCTCAGCTCAGAAAACATTACATGAATATCATATACACAGCAAGGGCTGCAGATTCTACTCTCGTCCTACAGCACCTTATCAGGCAAGCCTCTCAACAGACTCGAATCACCGCAGTGAAACACCCGTAATCACATTCAACAGCGCTGAAAAGCGCATTGAACTACGGTAGAGTCTGATAAGAGGTGTGTCTGATAAGAGGCGCAGGCTAGGAACGCGCCCTTAGCAACCAAAGTAGCACACACTAGAGGGCTGCACGGCCAGCACTGACCGCACGGAGTGCCCCTTGTTGTCCACCCACGTGAGGCTGCCGAACTTGAAAGACTGTGAAGCCCACTTCACTACAACAGTCACCGTGTACGTCTTTCGTTGCCCGGGTGCGATTGTGAAGCTTGACGGCGACACTTTCACCTTCACTCCAGCAGGTTTCTTGATCTTCACTGTATACGTCGACGTGGTATCCGCGACGTTTGTTACTGTCCTTGTAACTGAAGCCTTGTTGTGCACTTTGGGCAGCGAGATAGCTGGCCGGTTTAGATTCTTCGCGGAAAGTGCTCTGAGAGAAGCGGTGCCGAATTCACCCTTCGCACGGTTATAGTTCTGCCCGGCGAGAAAGTTTCTGAAGTCCTGCTCCCCGGCATCATAGGTTAACCCAGGGTTAACCACCCTAGCAGGCACCACATGCCCCGCTCCCATCTCCCACGGCGTAGCAGCGGCCCTGTACTCGTTTTTAATCGCTCCGTTACCGGTATCAGTAGTGCGTGCTGTAGTCATCATTGCAGACATGACCTGCGAGGGCGTCCAATCAGGATGCTGCTGGATGATGAGAGCAGCAATGCCAGCGATGTGTGGAGTGGCCATGGACGTCCCTGACAGCGCTTCAAACCCTCCTTTAGAGCCAACAGTCTTGCCGGGAAAAGCAGCGTAAAGCTCGACTCCCGGGGCGATGATGTCTGGCTTGAGAATTGTGTTGGAGGGGTAGGCGGCAGGGGTGGCGCGTGATGGCTTGGCGAGTGGGCCGGTGGAGGAGAAGTAGGCGATTACAGGGGCGGCGGTGGCTGCAGGGGAGATGCTGGCTGGGATGCGCGCCCCATTGAGGGTTGACACTGTGGTGGCTGCGAAGGCTGTGGAGGTTGTGGTGTTGGAGGAAGTTTCGAGTGACGCTGCTGCTGCTGCTGTAGTGGAGGAGATGGATGCTCCGTTGCGGATGATGGTGCTGCAGGGTGTGGCAGGGGTGGGGGGGAGGGGCACAGGGGAGGTGTCATGCGAGGGATGAGAAGAGAAGGAGAGGGATGAGAAGAGCAGGCGAGGGGGGATGTCAGGGGAGGGATGAACAAGGGCGAAGGTGTGAAAACGCACGGTCATGCCTGTTCTTTCCCTCTTCTTCTTACCTGGCCCCTGGTGTCGTGGTCTTGTGGCAGGGTGCAACCTCGTGACCTCGTCCTTCCTCTCACCACTGCCTTTGCCCGTCCCACACCTCCTTCCCCCCATCCTCACCTAGCGCCCACAGTCATGTAGTAGGGCGGGAAGTTGCAGAGCATGTGTGCGATAGCCCGTGGCTGCAAAGGAGTTTTTCAGATCGATTCCTCTTCCCCTCGCCTCACCTCGTCTCAGCCAATTCCTCACCTCCTTTCCCCCTGGTCACAACCCCCTCTCCTGACCTGGCGCCCACGGTCATGTAGTAGGGAGAGAAGTTGCAGAGCGTGCGATAGCCCGTGGCTGCGAATGCTGATGGACGGCCGTCGTTGCCCGCTGCAAAGGCCACGAACACCCCGGCCTGTTGTGGGGAGTGGGAAAGGAAAGAAAGGGAGGGAGAAGGGACATAAGGAGAGGAGCGAAGATGAGAAAGGAGAGGAGTGGAGAGAGGAGAGGCTGAGGCCGAAAGCATGGCCCTCCACGTGACTGAACCCGTAAGCACTGGAATAATGAGATACAGGTACAGAGATAGAGGTAGGAGCACTCACCGCATTGCCATTCACCACATTGCCACACACCGCATTGCCACTCACCGCATTGCCACTCACCGCATTGCCACTCACCGCATTGCCACTCACCGCATCGCCATAAGGAGATGCAGGTAAGACTCATATTGCACAAGCACTCACGGCGTTGACGCTGATGAAGGGCACGTCATCAAAATAAGTATCCGTGGGACTGGCTCCGCCCAGCGACAGGCTCAGCACATCCACACCGTCGGCGACGGCCTGATCAATGGCTGAGAAGATGTCAGGGCTGGTGGCGTACAAATTTCCATTTGACTGCCAGAAGATCTTGTAGATGGCCAGGCGTGCCCCTGGCGCCATGCCGCTGGCCGCGCCGATGTTGGGTATCTGCACATTGTTGTTGCCTGCTGCCGCCCTGGAGGGGGGGAGAGGGTGGGGGGAGAGAGCAGGAGTTGTGGAACAGGCACGTGGGGAAGGCTGATGCAGGGAATGCTTTTGGGCTACATAGTTCCCCCCAGTTATTTGAATCCCAGACGCATACCTCGTGCCACCTGCGAATGCTCACCATGCCCCATGCACCGCACCATAGACCACACGAACTCACCACGCACACCACGTGGCCCAACATGCTCACCCCTCCCACCACGCACCCCCCACACGCTCACCCCTCCCACCACGCACCCCCCACACACTCACCCCGCACACCAGGTGCCGTGCCCGAAAGAATCACGCGGCGAGAGCCAGTCGCCTGAGAGGTCGATGGTGGTGCCGCCGCTCTCAAAGCCCGCGTGGAAGATTCCCCCACCGATGATCTTGTTGTTGCATGCGAAGTCGCTTGTAGTGGGACACGTGCCTGACCATCCTGACGGGAGTGTGCTGCTGTAGCCCTGGTGGGGATGGGGAGGGGTGGAGGGGTGGAGAGGGGTAGAGGGGAGGACGGGTGGTGGATTAGTGGGGTGCTGGGAGACGATGGGGGCGTGCTGCTGCCCAACCACTCGGGGGGGGGGGGAGGCGTGCTGCTGTAGCCCTGGTGGGGCCGAGGAGGGGTGCAGGGGTAGTGAGGAAGTGGGTGGGTGAAGGGTGAGTGGAATGGAGGGGTAGACCGCCAAGGGGGACGACACAATGGAGTGTGGGGAGGGGAGGGGAGGGATTTGTGAATGCCATGCTGCTGCTGGTGCTGGGGAGGGCGGGAACGGCGAGGTCCGCGGGGACAGTGAGGCAGCGAAAGAGAAGGAGAAGCGCGAGTGGCTGCGGCACGAGATGCGTGCGGTGCGGGCCACACGCCCTGTGACCACTATGCCGATTTCATGTGCCGTCGCTATTGATAAACATACTGACCCTACTGGGGGCAAGGCGAGGCATAACCTACCGTTTCGTCAAAGGAAGCGTGTTCGGGCCATATGCCGGTGTCCACGATGCCAATCACTGTGCCGTCCCCCGCGCTGCTGGGCCCGCCCGCAGCGGCCCAGAGCGACCCGGGCAGGCCGAGGAACTTGTACGAGTCGGTGGTGGCGGGGCGCAGCACGCGCGCCTGCGTTACGGAGGCGACAGATGGATGCCTCTTCATCCGCTGCACCTGTGCTGGCGTGAGGGTCGCTGAGAAGCCGTTGGATGCGTGCATGTAGCTGAAGAGAGGAGGGCGCGCGGGCAAGGGGAAATAAGGGTGGGCGCGCAGGGGGGGGGGAGGGGGGGAAACGAGGGGCGTGAGGGTCGCTGAGGCGCCGTTCGATGCGTGCATGTAGCTGGCACGGCGGAGAGGGGAAGGTGGGAGAGGGGGGTGATGGAGATCGGGGAAGGGGATGGGATGGGTGGTACGGAAGGGGAGCAAATGGTTCGCCAGTAATAACGTTCCCCTACTCCCTCCTCACCTGTACACCATCTTCGCCTCGGTCACCCCGCTGTCTCTCAGCACGGCCTGCTGCATGCGCTGCAGCAGCTGCTTGAACGCCCTCACGCCCGGCGCCCTCAAGTTCAAACGCGGCCGCCGCAGTCGACGGCCGAGCCATCCTAAACCGCTGGTAGTAGCCGCACCAGCGGCGGCGAAAGCAGAAGCGGTGCCAGCGTCACTGGCACCGGCGGCGGCGTCGTCTGACGTCGCGTCTGTCGCGTTGCCGTTAGGGTCGCTGTCCCAGACGGCCGTTGCCGGGTAGCCGGGAAATCCGCCGCGGTACGAGGCGACGGGCGGCGCGGAGCGCAGGCGGACGATGTAGAGCGCGGAGACATCGGGGGGAGAGGCTGCGGGGGATGGGGGAAATGGGTAAGAGAATGCTTTGGAGCGGCATTACAACACGCCAGTTTGCCGACTCCCTTCGCGTGCCTAGCTTGCAATGAAACGAAATGCGCTTGAATGAACCACCTGAAAGGTACTCGCTGTAAGTACCTACTAGTATTCGATATCAGCAACTTGCGCATTACAGTCACAAATCGTCCAGCGGAGTAATAGAAGAGCCTGATTTACGAACGCGGAACATGCGACCGGCTGTGCTCGTACAAGCAAGCGGCTGAGTGCTGCAGCTCGTACCGTGGGTCGGGCGGAGCAGCGGCGCTGCGGATAGCGAGACGAGGAACACGAGGAGGGAAAACCGGGTTCGCGTTTCCCGGCGGGTCTGTACAAGGCTGCAGTGCGAGCGGCAGTGTGCGCGGTGCGATAGAAGGGATTCTCTTTGGGAATGGTCGAGCGGGAATGGATGCCCAGGGAGGAGACTGGGCGAGCCAGAGTGTCTTCGCTGAGAGGCCATTTTCAAGGACTAGCTTTAGGTCGTGTTTTGGTTTGGCGTAGGTGGTATGAGGCAGGGGATGGTGGAACCTCGGAATGCACGCGAGTTTGGTGTGCGTTTTGGCTACTGAGCCTTTTCTGCGAGGTAAATACTCGTCGCAAACCGCGAATTCTCTTGGCAGGCCAAGCCTCGTGCTGTGCTGTGATGGATCGTGGTGGAAATGGAAAAATGCTGACTGCCGTCGCTACTTGTGGCATTCCAAGAAACAGAAACACAGCTTGCTTGCTCGCCTGCTTCCTACTTTTCCTCTGCACGTGTTACTGGTGCTGCTTGGTGGAATAAAGTCGGTGGGAAGGGAATGGAAGGGCGACTGAACGAAATTCCGGTTACCCTGTCGTCAATTGCTGCTCGTGTTCCCCGCGATTCAACGCTGGGCTGCGGCGGCTGCTCCTTACCGGGTCGCGGGGAATTGGCGGAATGGAGAATGGGGGAGAAAGGAAGGAAGTGGGGGATAAAAAATATCACTGTGCGGTGGTGACCGAGGAAGAGCGGATTGCTTTGGGGGTTATGGATGGAGGGGCGCTGTGGTGGTCACTTGTCGCGTCGGAGGTTATGCGGTGGTGGTATGGCGGCGGCACGGGATCAGGTTGGGTGTTGGTCTGGTTCGGAGAGAAGTTGGGGGAAAGAAGCAAGCTGGCTTCTGTGTGATTGGTGGGCAGGGAGAACTGGGGGAACGATACAGTAGACCCCTGCGGGGAAGCTCGCTTTTGCGGCGCGGCTGGGTTCAGGCAGATCCAGAGGGCAGACACCCTTGATCTGGTGCACTACAGTCCACCACAGGTGTCAGCAGAAAAAGACACATCCCCACCCCACCCCGAGGCTTGACAGTTGGTCCAGCAACGACTGAGGAGGACGCATACTGTACAGCATTTTTTTTCAAGGATCAGCAATTCTTATTTAAAAAAGGGCAATCACGAGTCACGAGTTTCAAGCGTGAAAGTGGAATGTCAACGAGTGCAAGGCAATCAACGCTTCGGACAGATTTTAGTTACAAATAAGGGAAAGTATATCCCAGCTCCTGACTTTCAGATTTCTCTCATATTTAGCCCTAGGTTTACTCAAAAAGCACCACTTTCTATCATTTCTCTCACGCGAGGCCCAAAGTATGTTCAAAACTGGTCCTGCGGGGCAAAGTTCTCGACACGTGTCCTCTTGTTACCATCTGACGCACTTCCACTCTGAACTAACCGTTTGTCGGGGCAACTTTCGCGCCGGAAATGTTTTGACGGGGCAAAAAACATAAATCCTTTGGGGACCAGTACACATTTTCGGGAGGGATCAACCCTAAACACGGGACCTGCTAGGTGTTTAGGGTTGATCCCTCCCGCGAATGTGTCCCGGTTCCCTAGGGGTTTTATATTTTGTGCCCCCGTCCAATTTTTCCAATTTGTGGAAGTGCGTCAGATGGTAACAAGAGGACACGTGTCGAAAACTTCGCCCCGCAGGACCAGTTTTGAACATACTTTGGGCCTCGCGTGAGAGAAATTCTAGAAAGTGGTGCTTTCTGAGTAAAATTAGGGCTAAATATGAGAGAAATCTGAAAGTCAGGAGCTGGGATATACTTTCCCTTAAAATAATTTGGAGCACTCCCTGGGCTTGTGCAGCTGCCCCCATCAAGCAAGGACATAGGGCAGGTTATCTGACGCAAGCGCAAAAGCTGGAATTTCGCCTGTGTGTGGTGGACCTGCCAGGGCTGGACGTGTGACGTGTCCACTGCATTTCGTTGAAGCCCCATCGAACTGTGCGCTTGCAAGATTCGGCCTGTTCCTATATGCGCCTGTATGTGCGTATATTGGGGGGTTTGGTTTGGAGGAAGGGGAAATGGGCGCTTGGTTTGGGGCGCTCGTGCGGCGGGACATTGGTCCCAGCCTTTTTGCCGAGCCAGAATCGCACCTGTTCCCCAACACCCACAGCAGATGGTTGTTTGCAGTTCATGGTGTACACTACTCGGGCTGGTCCGTGGCTGTTCAAAGCGGTGAAACCCTCCAGAGATTAGAGCATCGTACTCCGCGTTTACCGAACGGAATGAACTTAAAGCCCGAGTCTAGAATGGCAAGGGTTCAAGTTCAAGATTCTTGAACTAGAATTCGCCAAGGAACAAGGTAACCCGGTTTGGATCTGCTAGCACCTCGCGACCCACCGAGAGGGAATTGAAGCGCGAGGCAGTGATTGGCCAGATACAGCACAGGCATTTCCACAACCACCCTCGCCATAAAAAACAAAAGCACATGGTACTGTTCAGACTTCTCACAACTTGAAAGCTTTCTCTACCACTCTAGACTCTAGACGTAGTAGGCTCCTTAGCCCGTCATTCCGTGAATCGTACACCTCGCTGAAGCTTTTTTTTTTGCGCGCAATCAGTCATTCTGCCTAACACTTCCAGTCCACGTCCTTCAGATCTCACCCTTCGATCAGGTTAGGACCCTCGCAATCGTCGTTCACGACTGTCGTGACTTGCCTCCCAGCCCTTCCGTCGCTCCCGTCGCTCCCATAGCTCTCGTCGCTCCCATAGCTCTCGTCGCTTCCATCGGTCCCACCCCTCAGACACTCCCAATTCTATCGCTCGCATGCAGGATGCGCAGAAAGATAGCAAGAACCGTCACTCTTGTCCCTCGTTGCTCATGTCCCTCCCATCGCGTTTGTCCCTCCCGTCGCTCCCGTCCCTTTTCCATCCCGTCGCTCACCGCTTTCCCTTTCCGTCGCCCACGCTCTTCCATCCCGTCGCTCACCGCTTTCCCTTTCCGTCGCCCACGCTCTTCCATCCCGTCGCTCACCGCTTTCTCTTCCCATCGCCCACGTTTTTCCTTTCGTTCCCCCTCGCATTCCCTTCCCGTCTTTCCCGCTCCTCCCGTCGCTCCCGCTCCCGCTCCTCCCGTCGTTCCCGCTCCTCCCGTCGCTCCCGCTCCCGCTCCTCCCTTCGCTCCCGCTCCTCCCGTCGCTTCCGTCGCTCACGTCGCTCACGTTGCTCCCGTCGCTCTCTTCCCTTCGGTCCCTCCCGTCCCTCTCCGCCTCTCGCCTTCCTTCCCTCTTCGCCTCTCCTTTTTCCCTACACAGTTCTACCCTTCCCTACACAGTTCTACCCTCCGCCTCTCGCCTCTGCGCTGCGTCCCCCCTTCCCTACGTGCAGCGTCCCCGCTTACGCACATTTCCCGCCCCCTTTCCCTACGTGCAGTTTCCCCCTTTCCCTACGTGCAGTTTCCCCCTTTCCCTACGTGCAGTTTCCCCCTTTCCCTACGTGCAGTTTCCCCCTTTCCCTACGTGCAGTTTCCCCCTTTCCCTACGTGCAGTTTCCCCCTTTCCCTGCGGGCAGCTTCCCCACGCCCCATGCCCCATGCCCCATGCCCAATGCCCCATGTTCACATGCCACATGCCCCATGCTCTCTTTGCCTCTTCGCCTCTTCCATTCATCCCTCCTTCTTTCGGTTCACCTTTCACCCCTTCCACCTTCTTTACCACTCCTCCCCTGCCTCACACCTCCACTCTTCCCACCTCTCTCTCCTACCCTCCCTTCCCGCTCCCCGCTCTTTGCGCTCGTCTTGTTTGCGCTGCCCGCCGCCCTCACTTTCCGTGCGCGCCGCCCTTGTTCTCCCTGCCCGTTCAGAGCACTAGTGTTCCCCCTTTCTGAACCCATCCGCTTCCCCGCCCTTCCCTCCATTTCCCCTTGCCTCTCCCTCTCCCCCTTCCATATCCCATCTGCCCATCCTCAACCCGCTCACTCATTTTCATCGCCCTTGTCGACTTCGTTTCCCCTGCCCATCATTACTCTCTATCTAGTGGTACTCTCTAATTTTCTGTAACTCCCGCAATCCCACTACTCTCTCACTCCCGCCCCGCACTCACTCCCGACGCTCCCTCACTCCCGCCCCGCACTCACTCCTGACGCTCTCTCATCCCCGACGCTCTCTCACTCCCGACATCCTCCTGGGTTCCTCTCATTCTTTCCCCCTGTCCTTCCCTCCGTTTTGCCCTTGTTCCACCCTCCCTTTCCCCCTGTCCTTCCCCCCGTTTTGCCCCTTGTTCCTCCCTACCTTTCCCCCTGTCCTTCCCTCTTCCCTCCGTTTTGCCCCTTGTTCCTCCCTACCTTTCCCCCTGTCCTTCCCTCCGATTTTCCCCTTGTTCCTCCCTACCTTTCCCCATGTCCTTCCCTCCGTTTCGCCCCTTGTCCCTCCCTCCCTTTCCCCCTTGTCCTACCCTCTGTTTCCCCCCTTGTCCCTCCCTCCCATTCCCCCATGTCCTTCACTCCGTTTCCCCCCTTGTCCTCCCTTCTCACTCCAGGGTCTTCTCAAGTCGCGCCCCCGACTTGCGACTCACAAAATGCATGTGCAGCACCACCACGCACCTTTCGCGGTTATGAACCGGAAGAGAGAGAATGGGCTCGAGATGGATGAGGCAGTCATTTTCAGGAATAATTGACTTGACAAACTATCTCATCTGTTTTTTTTATGTCCCTGGTTTCACCTTGTATTGAAATGTGGAAATCATCTGTAATTCACTTTACTGTTGCTCTTTCACCCACACAGAGTATGGTATGTGAAAGACCTTATTTCCACTTCAGAATTGCTATCACGTCAGTCTTATAAGCTTTTTCACACCAGTCTTATATGCTGTAAAGCAGTTTGTAATACGGTACACTACCATTGTCAATCACACATTCGACTTTCAGGTGTGACCCCTCGGACCCTCCATGTTCTCGCCTTGTGCCACGTTTGTCCTGTGTGCAGCCTTCAGGTTTCTTGAACTTGAAAGTGGCCAACAGTACGCAGGGTCTCATTCCGCGCTCGTCAACCTTCGCCACCCAGGTTCTGCGAATTAAACTGTCGCAACCCTTCGCTAACAAAATTTCAAGTTCAGTATTTATAAAACATTACCATTCTAGACTCGGGCTTTAAGCAAAGAATGCACTAGTGAGTCGAAAGGGGAAAACACAGTAGGCATTCATACCCGGCTCCACAATCACCTCGATTGAATTACTATCGGAAACACACAAACGGGAACAACTGTTGGAGCCACAACCAGGCAGGCAATCAAAGCATGGCCGTCTCGCTGTCCGTAATTCCCGGCCGAACTTGTAACTGGACACCGAAATTTTGAAGCTACCATACTCAACCTTTCCCCTCGTTCACGACCGTTAACGACACCGCGCCCGACCCCATTCATATCTTGCGCCTCGTTCCCAATCGCTTCACATCAGCGACACGACACAGATCCCCGCGATGTCGTAATCCGTGTCGCGCGTGTCACGCCGCGTCGTCGTTCCGGGTCCGCGGTTCCGATGGACGCGACGGCGTCAACGTATTTCTGACGCGCCCTTGTCCTCCCGTTCGCATCGGAACTCAAAACTCGTCTCTTGTGGCTCCGGCGGGAATCCCGATGGACGCTACATCAACGTACCCGCCCCCGCCGCCCTACTACAAGCTCTACGCCGCCTAGTTTGATTCTTTAGGCGCCTTACTACAAGCTCTACGTATCCGAGAGAGTTCCGAATGGAAGCGACGGCGTCGACGTACCCGCCCCCGCCGCCCTACTACAAGCTCTACGCCGCGTACGACCCCCACACGCGCACCGGCGGCCCGCCCCCGCCTCCCGCCGTCACCGGCGAATACGTGTCCTTCGGAGCGCCGTACAACGTGAGTTCTCGCTGCTCCTGAGACGTTTTCACGGTGATACGTTCGACGGAAGGTTGGCTGGAGTTGGAGGAGACACATACCCTGGAAATTTGAGGGCAACAGCAACTGTGGTCCACTCACAGCCACAGGGGGTCCCGCTCGGTCCATCTGAGACCCGTACCACGTGAGTCAAGCACGCTGTGGTGCAGGCTGAACCACAGACTGAGAGCCTTGTTTCTAAACATTCTGAACCATTCTGTTTGAAAATGCTCGCTTGAAACTGGAATGGGACTTGATTTCCCTTTTTTTTTTTTGCCCTGTGTCGCTTCGTTGGGTCCACCCCCCCCACCCCCCCCCCCACCCCCACCCCCCCGCTCTCTCCCCCCCTGCTCGCGTGGCGCGCAATGCAATGCAGACGGAGGATCGGCTGCCGAGCCTGGAGGAGCAGGGCGTGCGGCAGCTGTTCCCGTCCAGCAAGAACATCAGTGAGAACCCAAACCGTCACTCGCCCGCCTGTGTGTCATCGTGTCGTCATATCACAACTCCCTCAACTGTTCACAGTCATTGTTCCAGTGTGGCTTCGTGCCATGCCTTCGTGCCATGCCATCGTGCCATCGTGCCATGCCATCGTGCCATGCCATCGTGCCATCGTGCCATGCCATCGTGCCATGGTGCCATGGTGCCATGCCATCGTGCCTTCGTGCCATGCCATCGTGCCATCGTGCCATGCCATCGTGCCATCGTGCCATGGTGCCATGGTGCCATGGTGCCATGGTGGGTGGTTGCTTGCAAGCCATGGAGGAGCCAGCATGCCGTCCTGCCTAAGTGTCAGCATAAGCTCCTGCTCTCCTACCATCATGTGGTTGTTATGCCATCATGCTTGCAAGCCATCATGGCACGCTGTAACCTATCATTCACGCACCTCAAACATAGACCCTGCCCTGTCTTGTCCCCCCAGACACGCGTGCACAACTAAAAGCGCTGGGTCGTGAATTGGGTCTGCTAGTACAGCAGCCCGGCGGACGTGCTGGGTGGAGTGACCGCCATTCCGTGTTTTGAGTCGACTCAAAACACGATTGGGTCTGCCATGAGTACTGGAGCTGGCGGACGTGCTGGTGGCGCCACTGCCATGCCTTCATGCCCTTCTCCTCCTCTCCCCCCACCACCCCCCTCTCCCCTCCCTCTCCCCTGCAGACACGCGTGCAGAGTTAAAAGAACTGGGCCGGGAGCTGGGCCTGCTGGTGATGGAGTCTGGCAGACGTGCTGGTGGAGCGACTGTCATGCCGCTATGCCCTTTCTCTCTTCGACCACCCACCATCCCCTCCTTCCCAGACACGCGTGCAGAGCTTAAGGCGCTTGGCCGGTTGCTGGGGCCTGCTGGTGATGGAGTCTGGCAGACGTGCTGGTGGAGCGACTGTCATGCCCAGCCCTCTCCTCCGCCCCTGCCTTGTCTTGTCCCCCTGCAGACACACGCGCAGAGCTGAAAGCGTTGGGGCGGGAGCTGGGGCTGCTGGTACTGGAGCTGGCGGACGTGCTGGTGGAGCGGCCATCACAGGCAGGGCGGTGTGTGGAGGACATATCGCTGCTCTTCACCAACCTGCACTTCCTCCTCAACTCGCTGCGCCCCCACCAGGTAGAGTCGCCCTATCTCCAGGTACAAAGGGTGTGCTTGCACCGCACCGCACCGCACCGCATGCATGCATCTTGGTACCATCACAGGCGGGGCGGTGTGTGGAGGACATATCGCTGCTCTTCACCAACCTGCACTTCCTCCTCAACTCGCTGCGCCCCCACCAGGTGCACGCACCGGTTACCAGGATCTCATCGTATCGCACTGCATCACACTGCATCGCACTGCGTCGCATTCATGCACTGGATTCTGAATCAGTGGCAGTCTCCGTCAGCTGCTCCGTGCGTGCGTGGGACAACGTGAGCTGCGTTTTGAGGTGCCTCAAAAGTGGGAGAATGTGAGCCGTGTTCGAGAAAACGCAAAAACGTGCTCAGGGAAAACTGTTCTTGGATGGCTTGTCCCGTCGTCCTCATGTGCTGCCCCTCGTGCTCCCCTCATCGCGATCTCTCTCCAGGCGAGGGCACATACTCAAGACGCAGGTGGGGATGCGCAAGCAGTCCCACGCTGCAAGGCATCAATGAGTGAGCAGAGCACCCCCAGCACCCCTTCCCCTAATCTCCTCTTCTGCTGCACTGCACCGCATCTCTCTCCCTGTCCAGGCGAGGGCAACGCTGACACACATTCTCAAGACACAGCTAGAGATGCGCAAGCAGTCGCTGCAAGGCATTAAGGAGTGAGCACCCTTTCATCACAAACCCCTCACAACCCTTGAGCACCGTTTTCACTTCTCACCTCCGTTCCTTGTTAGAATCATTTTGCTTGTCGCCTGCTTTTTTTTATCTATTATCTGGTTCTCTGGTTCTCTGGTTCTCTGACAGTGTCACCGAGTGCCATGCTGCACGGACTACTCTCTTTACTCCTTTGTGCAGCTTTGCATGCCATTGTCACATTCATCATTGTCCATCCACATCCCTCTCTCCGTGCTGCGCCCATCTCTCCTTCCTCCTCCTCCCTCACTGCACCGCCTGCCCCCTCTCTCTGCCCCACCTTCCTCCTCCTTACTCGCTCTGCCCCACCTCCAATGATGCAGGCAGCGAGCGGCAGTGTGGGAGGTGCTGAGGTTGGAGGAGGCCAGGCCACACGAGGGGGGATCTTACATCTCTCCTCGCTCTGCCCCCCCCCCCCCCCCCCTTACTTGTACTTCGTTGCTCGTCCTTGCTCTTCCTTCCTCTGCCTTGCATGCAGGCAGCGAGCGGCGGTGTGGGAGGTGCTGAGGCTGGCAGTGGGAGAGGTGGAGGCCGCCACACGAGGGGAGGCTGGAGGAGGGGGCAGCAGCAAGGGCGGTGCAGACGGGGTGGAGGTGGAGGGAGGGGGAGGCGGCAAGCAATGAGTGAACGCATGCGAGCTCCTTTTATATGGCAGCAGTATGGGCAAGACAGTGGTGGGGGTACCAGCACGAGTGGTTCATAGAGCGTGGGGGAGGGAGGGGGAGGGAAGAGGTGAAGGACAGGTGGGAAGGCAGGGGGGATGGGAGGTAGGGGTAGGAGGGAGTGAGGGGTGGGAGGGAGGGTATGCGATTGCGAGATCGAGCAGAGACTGCGCAGTCTCTTGACAGGCGGTTCTTAGTCATTCGCTCAGAAGCTGTTGCTTACATGCACGTTGTTTCTTTTGTGGGCTTATACGCGACTGTCCCGCATGCAACCATCAGCAAATGTGTACGAAGGAATGGCATCACCGATGACACGGCGTTCACTAGAATATAAGCAGATTGACGTACCGATAAGCATCACTGTTACGAGTGCAATGCGAGAATTGCACTATCGAGGCAAAACAATACACAATGAGTGAGAGCATGGGGAAAATGTTAAAGCCCGAGGTCAGCATGGTAATTTATCAAGTTATGTGAGGTTGAAATAGTGTTGGCGAAACCTTGAAAACAAGAATTTCGGCCAAGTCAGTGTAGCGAGAAAAAGATTGATTGACGAGGGGGAAAAGGGTCTCGCCAAACGTGATGCGATAGTGTGCAGCTTGTCAAACTCTGCGACTGGAAGGAGTGTCGCAAGGATTTCCTCAGCCAATCAGATTCAAGTAGGGGAGAATGTCCACGCACAATGCAACTACCAGCAAAAACGAAAACGGGAAGCACCAACAACCTCCGAACACCCCGATCATCCAAGTAAGCTAACTACTCACGATTGAAATAGCCGAGGAGCTAACAACAATAGAACGTCCGAACGTAATTGACGTCCCAGAACAAGCACATGCGGGGTCGCAGGAAGGCACGTTCAGAAGAGCGCGACATTGCTCGCTGCCCTGGTACTGGCGATAGGCATTAGCAAATAGAAAGTCTGACACCGATTGAGTAGGCTTTCATAGTTGCCATCACTCATTGTGCCTGTGCGTAAGAGTGTAAGTCCGTTCCCCTATGAGCTGCGCAGATTTTGTCGCACGGGAGCAAGTCAATGTGCGACAGTGCATCGTGCGACTCGCTGATGCTGTCAGCGAGTTCGTTATCCACTCGCTTCAAATTCTTACTGTGAAGCAGCATACAACCTTCGCGGACGAGCAGCGAGAAGGTTGTATGCTGGCGGCAGGTCGACACGGGGACTGCGGAAGGCGGAGAGGGAGGGGAGAGGCGGAGCACAGTCTGCGTCGGTGGGGGAAATTGGTTCTTATCGCGCGATGGGAGAGCTGTCCGCTGGCGCAACTTGTGGCAGACGCAACGCCAGACGGCGGAGGAGAGGCGGAGTAGATACGGGGGTGGAAGGTGGAAAGGGGGAAAAGGAAATTTGGGGCTTGGCCCGCTTCTCATCGCACTGAGGCGTGTGCAGCTCAAGGACAAAGCGGAATGAGGCGCGTGGTGGGGATGAGGCGCGTGGTGGGGATGAGGCGCGGAAGGGGATGAGGCGCGGAAGGGGATGAGGTGCGGAAGGGGATGAGGCGCGGAAGGGGAGTCTTGAACTTGAAAAATCCCATGCTGTACTCGGGCTTTAAATAGCGAAAACAGTGGTAACGGTAACGAGTGCTCACAAAGTGTGCTCCTTGAACCTAGCGCCGAGGTTGGGGAAATGTCGAGGCGTAGGGCCGGGTCGCGGGATATCGGTCGAGCCGTGTGGTTCGGCCACGATAGTGGTGGTGGCGGGAACAGTGTTGCGGGGTGGTAACAAGATCCTGTTTGGGTGAAAACGGCAGTAAATGAACAGTGTTGCACACGATAGAGGTGGTGACGCGAAGCAAGGAGAAGCTATTTTCTTACAACAATGGTTGTATGGTAGACTTGTCCAGGGGGACCTACCGTAGTACCCCGGATATAAGCGCAGGTGCGCTTATAATAAATCAATGTTTTTTAGGGGGGTGCGCTGCCTGAGCATGAGCGTGCGGGGAAGCTGCAAGCTAGACTCGTTGGGGCATGCACTTGGGCATGAGCATGGAAAGCAAGGCATGGCGCGTGGTGGACGTTGAGTCAAAACACATGGTCATCACCCGTCATGCACGTTTTTATGAGGACATGTCACTTGAACGGTGGCATAAGTGGCGTGCACGCGTGGGTGACGGGAAAGACTATCTGAAAATCAACACTGGGGATGCCCGATTGATCCTAGGGAAGGGTTACAGGCTCGCTGACCTGGGGGGTTATGGGCGCACTGACCCGCTACTTAACAAGCCCTTTTATCCCAACGGTCTAGTGGTTGGGATTCTGACAAAGACCAGCCCACACCGCCCTTTGCTCCAGTCCCGTCTCTCTTTCCTGAGCCCCACGACCCCGAGCAGAATCTGCCTCCACCACGTACCGTTATCGTGGTCCCGGTGCCGTCCATGCAAGGGGGCGAGCAATCGTTTGATCGCTCGGTGGGCCCCGCGGGCAGCAAGGCACCCATGGCCGCGTCACCTCCAGTCCATCCTCGAGTGCTGATTCGGCGCTTGTGGGACCAGAGGATGGTCCCCTTGAGGACGGAGGCGACACGTGTGATTACGAGGAGGAAGGAGAAGAAGCAATGGATGAGCAACCAACGGTGGCCCATGAGCATGAGCCTTCACCTGCAGCACCCCCCATCCAGCCCATTCCACCACCCCCACGTCGCTCCAGCAGGCCCAACAAGGGGGTGCCACTAGTACGGTTTCCCGCATCAGCCATGACGGTCAAGGATGCGGACGATGAGGACAACCCGTACGACACGGCATACCTTGCTAAGGATGATTGTTATACGGACAGCGACGACGAAGTGGAGTATCCGGACGAGGATGAGGAGGAGGAAGGGGCTTGGGGAGGTGTCATCCTTGACCTGGCAGCAGCCTTGACCGGACCTGAAGGCAAGGAGTGGTGGGCTGCTATGAAGGACGAGATGGAGAGCCTTGACGATCAGGAGTGTTGGCGTCAAGTGGCTGCTGAAGAAGAAACTATGACGTGATGGTACTGTGGAGACGTACAAGGCTAGGCTCATGGCAAAGGGCTTTAGCCAGCGCTTCAGCATCAATTATGACGACACCTACGCTCCGGTTGGCAGCTACACCACCGTACGCGTGCTCCTTTCAATCGCATCAGCTATGGACCTGGGTTTGCTGCAGCTTGATGTGAAGAATGCATTTCTTCATGGTACCATCGACCACGAGATCTACATGCGGGAGCCGCCCTACTTCACCGACGGTAGCAGCAAGGTGTGCCTCCTGCAGAATAGCCTCTACGGGCCAAAGCAGAGTCCCCTTCTGTGGTACAAGGAGCTGGACAAGGTGCTCCTTGTGGAGGGGTACAGGAAGAGCCTTGTGGACAAGGCCCTATACTACAAGGATGGGGCGAGCGGGAAGCGCGTGTGGCTGCTAATATACATGGATGACTTGCTAGCGGCAAGTGAAGACAAGGACCTGCTGGCCAAATCGTTTCAGCTCCGTGAGGTGGAACTAGTGGAACGCTACATGGGGATGCAGATTGTGCGCAACCGCCCCAATAGGATACTCCTCCTGCACCATAACGCATACGTGGCGAAGGTGCAGCAGCGGTTCTTCAAGGGGGCGCCACTGAAGAAGCATCCCATCAGTCCTCTCTCCTCTGCCAGCTTTGGCAAGCAGGATGCCGGGCAATTTGCCAACCGAACCATGACCGAGTACTTGCCAATTCTCAGTATGGTGCACTTTGCAACCATCTCAACCCGTCCTAACCTCTCTTTTGCGTGCAGCCACCTAGCAGCAGGTGCACACATAAGGACGGATGCGCATTGTCATGAGCTCTTCCGCACACTCTCCTACTGGGCTACCTCACCGGACATGGGGCTGCTATTCTAGGGAGGACCAGAGAGCTTGACCCTCGTGGGTTATGCGGATGCGGATGATGCGGGCGACAAGGAGAACTGGTCGTCTACGGGAGGCTGCCTCTTCACGCTTGGCGGAGCTGCCGTTTCCTGGCAGGCCAAGAAGCTGCAGTGTGCGACCAAACTCTCCTCCATTGAGAGTGAGTCTGTGGCTGCGGTGGAAGCGGAAAAGGAGGGGCGCAAGTTAAGGTTCATGCTGTGGGAGTTTCAGCTGCTCACGAAGGGTGTTTTCACCACCTTGTACGTAAACAACATGTCCGCGGTGCAACTCAGCCGGGCGGGCGGGCTCCAGGGGCGCATGAAGCATGTCGACCGTCGCCACATGTGGCTGCAAGACATGGGGTGCATGAAGAAGTTGGAGCTGCAACACATCCCTACGACGGTGGAAGTGGCTCGACAAGGCAACCTTCAACAGATGCTGTACAACAGCCGGGCTGGTCCAGCATGCCCCTGATAGCAAGGGGGCGTGTTAGAAGGAAATGCTGCTACGAGCAACAAAATGCCGGCGCTGGGATTCGAACTCGTGACCTTCAATCTGTCCTGAAAGTGTCCCAGAACAGATTTGGGATGGTTACTGCTAAGGCGCTAGTTATGGTGCACGCGAGTTTTGAAATGGAGACCTTTTGGGACAATTTGGCGAAATCGGTCTCGGGTTGCGTTCGAATTGAAACTCGGCAGCAATGTGTCGAAGTCAACAGAATTCGCACGGGAGTTACAGTCGGTGGTCGTCGGAACTCTGGTCGCGGAAATTATCGTCTACGGAATTCCAGAAAATGGAATTCGCCCAACGAGATTCAAGGCCTGAAATTTTGCGTCGACGGAATTCAGCGTGCGACCCGGGTCGACACTTTCTTCTGTGTTTTGTTTTTGTATTGCGGTCTAATATGAAACCAGAGAGCACAAACCAGAAATTAACCAAGTCATTATCACTGCTATGTTTGTGTGTACCTCTAGCTATATTGCAAGAAGGCGTTCTTCATGTCGAGCTGCATCAGGTGCAAGTCGAGGACAACGACGATGCTGAGGAAGATTATCAGCGTGGCGTAGCTCCCGACCGGTACATACGTCTCGTCGTAGTCAGCCCTGT